CAAAACAGTACTGGCGAAATGTTATCAGAATCCAAATAGTCCACGTTGGAGAGCAGAAATTAAAGTCAGCTGAACACATTCCAAAGTGGTTGCTCAGGGCGGTACATAAGGTACCCAAAAGTTCAAGCACTAAGCATTTAGTGGACACTGGCCATATAGTCGACCAAAAAACTGCATTTAAGGTCGTACTTCGGACGACGACCGGGCGTCTCCTACGTTTTGCGGAGGCCGCTACAATATGGAGAAGAAATCCAGAACTCTGTAAGCAGCTGGACCATGTGATCAACCGTGCTGTGACAATTACCTCCCTCATCCTCTACCCCTCACCATACGCCCACATCTATGACTAATTTTTTTACCCCCTCTCCCTTTACCTAGCAAATTTCAGCCTTCGAGACTGACGCTTAATTAAACAGTTAATTTTCTGATTAATAGGCAACGACCGTCTGCAGCTGATTGAGAGGTCACGAAATTTCATGACGTCATTAAATCCTGCTCAAATCGTGATCTTCGCGTTGTTCATAGTTAGAATAAGTTGGGATTTTTAAATGCACGGTTGTCTAAGTCCCCACACTTTCAGCCTGCAATCAAACTTCCGATCTTTTAAATTTTCTTGATATATGATAGATTGATATATTTCCGTGCTCTTTCATTGATATGTCTATTTCAAAGTTAACTTTGGTGTAAATTTTGAATTCATTCCGAACTACCTTTAGTCCATACTGGATTTAGTATTTGAATAAATTTTATGCGGACAAATAGAAACTGGTATTTTAGTTTAAGCCTTTTTCATTTGCTTGAAATATTTTTAACCGTAGCACCCCTTGAGAACCTTCAATCTCTATAGAGAGCGATGACTTACTTCTCATTTCTTAGAGTAAGTAAAAGGTAAACGCTGGCGGATAAGTAAATTGGACATGCGGGCTTACCAAACAGATGCTTGTCAGCACGAAAGCTTTGTAAACAAACTCGAAACTTTATGCGGAGACTACGCCTTAAGTCGCACATTTAGACGTGCTAGCGGGTTCTCTGAAGCATTATCCAATTCTGCCTCAGGCAGTCATAACACAGTCCCGCATCAACACAGGACAGTAACATGAGAAAGAACTCTTCGGATTTTGCGAAAGTTTTTTATCGCCATACGATGCTTCATGCGCAACCCATCATCCTGCACCCACATTGCTGCGGGATGCACGATAGAAATCATTGTTTGCTAAGTTCAAACGTACACGTCTTCTATATTTTGTCACCCCGATGTCCCTACCACCGTGTTTCTTTACTGGCGTCCGTTAGTTATTTTGGATGAGACTTGGAGAAATATGCTCCAGACGACCAATGCCAGACTCTTTCATTTATGAGCAAGCACGGTTTATACATGTCACCGTGGCCTTGAGTTCACCAATATCAGCGCGCGAAGACCGAGTATACCGATTTTGAAAAGTAGAAATAAACAAACTTCGGCCTTTTGATCTGCTTCCAGCGTATTTTTTTTTCACGGGGTATTTTTGTGATTTTTTTATGTATATTTACGTTATATAATAAATTATTACACTTTATGCTATTGCTGGAGCATACTATATAGCGTGTATGTTAGCTATAGCAAGTTTTTACGATCATGTGTACTACAGCTGTAGTACAGGACTAGTCCTGATGGTAAGGTCCTAAGTGCAAAGGTTCTACTGGTCTTAAGAAATTGC